GAGGAGAGGAGAGTCAGAGAGATCGAAGAAACATGTGAATCGACGTGCAGTGTCAAAAAGGGAGGGATGTTAGATTTCCATGTTTTGTATGTATGCTTTGGAGTGTTTGCTTTGAATATGCTTTGAATATATATATATATTTAAGCGTAATTGAAAACATAATTTTTAACTTAATCTCCATTTTGTCATTACAAAAAGAAAACATAATTAGTCAATTGATTGTCATTACAAAAAAAAAACTAAACATGATTAAATCTCAAATCCTTTTCATATGAATATAATTCTGAAATTTTCCGCTTAGAAAATCTTGGCAACATCTTTTATAAGACCGCGATTGGCAATTACGAAATCCGAAAATTCTTGGTACAATATGTATCCATCACCATCGTTATCAATCTCGGCCATCATACGCTTAACTTCGTTGTGTGTCACCGATCTAAATTACAAATCATACTTTCAAACAAAATCCACTTGAATCAGAATTTTGTATTAGACCTTTTCCTTTGTTTCAAACAACAATGTAAAGAATCAGAACAAATACCTAAGTTTAATTTGGCCAAAAAGGTACATTGTAAGAATATATCGGAAAACAAAAATCATCGGCTGAAACCAACGGTCTTTTTTTCGGCTTTATATCGATCTTCAAAGATGAAGTTTGAAGTAAAAATAAGTCTTATGAGAGTATAAACCTTCAAGGAGCTCTGTCAAAAGGCTTGGTGTCATTGTAACAAGTATCCCACACTGCTTCCATCGCGTCTTTCGCTGCTACGTCCGAGCAATACGGGTTGCCTCGAAGCGATTTCAACACTCTTCTTTCTATACATTCCTTTAGAGAAAACCGAGGATCGGGTAAATACTAACAAGAATCATCCATTATTCCACAAGTTGTTTATATGATTTAGCTAATTCAATTCTTCTCATATAGTGACTTACTTGTTCATGCCCTCTTAATTTAATGAAACCCCTCAAGAGTTCTCTCTTGAAATGGCAATCGCCGCTTAGATGACCTGCACGTATCTGTTTAAAGAATACACACACACACACCAAAAACCTAGAACTTCAACAAAAGTATATAAATTGGTGCTAAATTTGAAAGCTCTATCTAACAATGTAATCACCTCGCTACAAGCATGATGAGCACAGTTAGTCCAATCCAAGTTTTTGGCTCGGCACTCGTCATACGCGTGGATTAACTCATGTATGACTACTTGATTCACTTCATCTTGAATGGTCAGATAGTTACTGCAGACAGTGATCTTGAAAACATAGAAAAACAGAAAGGAATTGAGCAAGATTCAGCATCAACGATACAAAAGCAAGAGCTCGATCGCATTGTAATCGAAAACAGTAATTACCCCTGTTCCTTTAGTGAAGCCTCCAGCTACTGGTCCAGTACAAACAACTGCCTTTACGAAATTATCACCAACTCGACACCCAGATTTCTCCATTTGCTCCATCAGAAACTTCACAACTGG